AATGTAGAATGCATCTGCTTTAAATTGTTTTCATCAGATGCATACTGTTATTAGTAGAGTTAGGAAAAAGTTGTTCTGAGAAAATGTAACACATCCATTCATAGCTAAGCAAATCTAAGCTTTCCCTTTCTGCCTTATCCGAAACTAGACCCATGATGCAGTAGGTGTAAAGTTGGGTTAAAATCCCTGTGAACTGTGCAGCAGCTGAGCTAAATGTGTTGTTATCCTCAGAAATGATGTTGCAAAATCAGCTGTGGTCTTGTTTGAGTCAGGGGAGAACTCTAATGCTCAGCAACTGAAAAATACCTGTGCATTAACTTTTCATTCCATATTGATCTCCAAACAGAGTTTCAAAGGACTCTATTAGGAAAAAAAGAGAGTTTTAAGCAGGGATTACTTTTTCATGTCTTGTAAAGAATGCATTATGCGTGTGGCAAGCTAAACCTTTGAAACTCAACTTCCATCTGTGCTCTGTGACAGTATCTTTATATAATTCCATCTCTAAAAGGCAAGGTTTGGAAATTAAGTTAGTTTGTATCATGCACAGTTCCAGTAGTGATCAAAGGCAGACCTGTTAATGCAACTATTGCTATTCATGAGTTTTACAGCCGTGTGAGTTTCAAGTTAATTATAAATGCTTGTTTAATCACTTAACAATAGGGTATCAGAGTCTCATCTGGGCATTATGCATATAGCTCTTACTTTTTTTAATTAAAGCAAATTCCTACCTTTTTTCCAATAAATTAATTTTGATGGTAATGCTCTAGGCTCTAGCGGGTCAAGATATGCAAATCCTCTTTCAAATGTTGGACAGTTGTGTGATGAATGTCTTTATTTTATTATCCTTTAGCTGCCCGTCCCTCCCCATTGAGTACATGGTTATGTAGTAGCCTGGTTGTCACTGGAGATGGCATAACTTGCTCTGGTTCTTATACTAGAGTTCCTTTTGTGACACTTTATTAAAAATTTGTATGCCTTATCACTAGGAGATAATGTATTTTGAGATAAACTCATGTATTTATCATTTTAGTTTCTAAATGCTTTAATAGATTTTAAACCTGAAGAGGCAAGTAGGGCACCTGTCTGACCTTCATATCACAGACCACTGTGCTTTATTTGAATATGGAGGATTGAATCTAGTTATTTTAGTTAAGATAAACCATTTCAGTCCCATGGAAAAGAAATTCTTGTGCACTGGAGGAACCAGCCACAGTGCCAGCAATGCAGGAGGTGCTTGCAGTGGCAAGGAATGTTAGATGAGAAATGCAGATGAATCAAGCTGTGTTGCAGAGAAGGGCAAAAAAGCCTCAAGTGCCACCTGAGAGCAGGCTCCTCTACAACTCCAGGTCCTGCTTATCAACTGAGGCGAGGTGAGAAGATGCATTGATCAGGCATCACAGAGGGGCTTCTCTGCACCAGCTAAGCGACCAGACTGTGCAGCTCCTGTTCTCTGCTGTTTCTGAGGAAGGGCAAGGGAGAAGAATAAAAGAAAAACTCAGAAATCGCCATCAGTTGTGCATTTGGGGAAAAAAGTTCCTTCTTGACTTCCGAGGTGTGAGAGTTATAGTCTGCACAATACAAGTGCTCCGAGTGTGCAGAGGACCATACAGATAATCTTCTCCATGACCTGTAAAGCAGGAAAGTGTTTACCAAATTCAGACTGCAGTCCTAAAAAGAAGCACCTCAGACAACCATTTGGTCTGGTTTCATAAGTGTTCTAGAATCAAGTGTTAATTCTATTAAATCCAGAATTAAATATTAATTGTAAGCTTTAATTAGAACACCTAGAACTAAAATTAAAGCTTTTAAAAAAAAAAGAAAATAAATCTTCCCATATTCTGTCAGCATGAGTGAATCTGCCATCTAGTAAGCTGTGCTCTTGTTGCTAAGACATGACACCTGAATTTGCTTAAGTTCAGTGTACAGCTGTTGGGTCATACTGTACCTCTCTCAGTAGGACTAAGGTCCTCGTCTGACTTCCCCCCCGGCCCGTTATGCACACTGATCCAGCCTTCTCTCGCAATAACTGAAGAGGTCTGGTTCTTCAGATGGCTGGTCCAAAGGCTGCGTCCATCCCCTGTTTTTTTTATGTGGCTCTGCTTTCTAAATCCTTGAAGTCTGAGTCTGAGAACCAAGCCCTGTTGTGTGCTAGAGGTCTAACCAGTGCTGTGGAGCAGAAGGAAGGACCTTTCTGCAGGTCTGCAGCAGCCCTGGTGTAATCTTGAGAATCACTGAACAGGCAACAAGCAGAAGCAGACCTCCTGCATCCCACCTTCTGTGTGGTCAGGTTCACTGGGAATCAGTGGCAGATGCCCACCCCAGTTCAAGACTGGTTACCTGTGGTGGAGGGGAAGGCTGTGTAGCACCACTGGTTTGCCTGTAACATGAACCAGAGCCTGTTCCAAACAGAGGAAGTCACTGTCTTTGCTGTGAATCTTCTACAAGCACTCCTAGTTTGCCATTTGAGGTGGTAATGTGAACTTACTTTTCAGGTGATCACATCAATGAAGACCAGAGTCTGTGTTTCTGGAGGGATTTTACATACACATATCCTTTTTTTCATATGAACTTCCTCTGATACTGTTTTGAAGCTTGGTTGTCTGTAGAGCCTTCTTAATGCAGTACATTAGAAAGATACGACAATATGTGAATGCTTGAGTTGGCATCTGTGGCTAGGGGCTGGGGAACACTCCTTTTTCTAGGAAAATGTTTTCCTTTAGATAAATTAAAATCCTATTGTTTGGCTGAGAGGTGACCTTGCACATGGGCGAAAGGTTAAGCAGAAAGGCTTATCCATTTGGCATGTGGGATTCAAAACCAGGCATGTTGCCAGTAAGCTCAGAGTGCATACAGTTTTATTTTAAATAAAGTTCGTAATGGCATTTTTTAAATGAGCAGGAAGTTTTCTTTCTCTAATCAAACCTAGATAATTTAAATATCTTTTACTTTGGCAATATCCTGACATTGTCCATGGATAGGGGACCCCCGGAGGAGAAGATAAGCGATAACGGCTGCCTGTGTCTGCCTGTTCCCAAAAGAGATCATCTGTCCAGCAGATATCAGTGGGAGTCTGCCTGACAGAGGGGTGTGTGCACAGGAACCAAATTGCAGGATTGAGATCTAAATAAGTTTGTAATCTTTGACTTCCAATCTGTGTTGTAACTTTTTTCTGTTTATTTTGGTCTTTGAGATCTGACAGTGTGCCATCATTCAGATTGCTCAGGATTTTTCTTTCTATGTAACATTACTGGTTGGTTTGTTTGGTGTGTTTTTTGTTTTTTTTTTTTGTTTTTTTTTTTAAAAAAAAAAAAAACAGTGCTTTTCACTTTTCAGGAATCTGGTTATAGAAGACAGTGCTGATGATACCGGTTCTGAAGGAAACCAAACTGGGAGTTTACAGCAGTATAAAGAACAGTTATGAGTCTAAGAAGAGGGGTTGTGATGGTAGAAATAGTTGTCTTAAGGTTACTTGTATTTCAGAAGAGTCAGTATGGTTCATAAAGCAGATGGCACAGGAAGGATTGCTCAGACAAAGTTTAGACTTAGTAAAGTATCAGAAATCGCATTAAGAAGACAGATGGGATTCTGGATTGGAATGCTAACATGTAAGGGGTTTTTTTGTCTTTTTTTATTTCACTTTCCCAAATCATAACCTTGGAGATGCTGGGGTTTTTTACATAGCTGACAATAAATTTAGTAGTAGAAAACTGGGAGGGAGTTACAGTTAGACAGCTGTTTTCACTGTAACTAGTAGTTTTGGTTTGTGCTCATTTGAAAAACAAGTTAGATGTGATTGCAGAAAGAAGACAAAGAAATATATCTATAAGAAAAGTGATTTAGGCTAGACTTACTTGCTCGAGCATACACATACAGCAACCTTGATCTCTTTGTGGAATGTAACCCTATATTTGCTGTTTTCCCACTAACCTTTTCCCGTGGTGCTTTGGGATTCTTGAAATAGAGTTGCAGGGTTTCCCAGATGGCTCACACTGTTTAATGTTTGCAAGTGGTCCATTCCTAGCTGTACTTTTTGACAGGGACGCAAAGTCTTTTTGCCCATCCAGACAGGATATCTTTGCCTGTGGTTTGTGCTAGAAATTAAGTTACCGTAAGTAGATCTTGCTTTGGACATGAAACGTTCCTGTAGGAACATAATGGCAGGGCACATGCTAGTGGTGCAGGCAAATTCCCCCGGTTCTACCTGTGCCTGCCTGGGTGGCACTGCAAGCCAACAGGGAGCCACGTGCCAGACAGCCCAGGTCTGAAAGAAGCACATTCCAACCAGGCTAGTCAGGAGCTGAGTATATGAGACAGGGCTGTCAGCTTGAGTGTAGGCTGTCCTGAATGTGGGTGGCCTGTTTGGGGAGGTGAGAGAGATCACAGCTGACCTGGTGAATTGGTCAGCCCAGGGTCTGTCACCTCAGCCCTCTCTGCTTTGCTTTGTGGTGAGGAAACATCAGCATTGTGCACCGTTACATCCCCTTCCTTCCTTCAGGACCTCACTAGCAGGATAGAGCAAAGTAACTGAATATTCCCGCTGTAGTAAATAATAAAAAGCACAATGGTGTCACAAATCTGCAGAAGAATAAAGCACGCTTCTTTTTCATGTTCACATTCATGCTTTGTGTTCTCAGAGTTCATCTTCTGCAGTGCTTTCAGTTCCCTGCCTCCATCGTGTTCCCCATGTACTGCAGATGTTCTTCCTTTTCTGAGTCCATGTGTCTTTAATTCTGTGTGAACTCCTTGCTGTGGTAGGCTGTAAAACTCAAGAATAACGTATCTGCTTTATCCCCCCAGTTTTGCTGAGACTACCAGCTAAAAAGTTTGCCGGACATTTTAAAGACTCTATTCCTTAGCTAATAATGAGTCTTGTGAGCAGCTTTCTCTAGTACTTCTAGTATACCTAATGCTTCAGTCTAAGACTTCCCTATTAATTTGAGGTCAGACAGATCTTGTATCACTTGATGTCCTTACTCTGCTCTCTTCTTTCCCTTCTTCAGTCCTCCTGTTCCTCAAGAAGTGCTTAGCAATTCTGAAACTTACTGTACAGCTTTAAGTTTTCATAGTAGTCTCTTTGTAGATTGTTCTCACTCACTGTTTGAGAGGAGGTTTTCTTCAACAATTTCCCTCCAGTTTAAAGCTTGTAATCATTCTGTTGGTGTGGAAATTATTGTGATAATGCAGGTTTAGTGTTCATTACTTCACTGCTGCATTAGATAAGAAGAAAAAGGAGCTGTTGCGTAGGAGAAAGCCCTGAATTAAACAAGCTGTATACATTTCACATGTATGTTAGGGAAGATAACACATGAAAAGGAATTAGGGTTGTTAAGGCTGCTAGGATTTTCTCTATCTTCTCAGGAAAAAAAGAAGTCTAAATGTTAAAGGAGGAGAAAAGAAGCCCAGTGTCTGATCTAGGGACGGTGGTTTGGAACAGCAGTTCAAATCTGTTGCCTTTCAGAACATCAGTCTTCCATCTTGGGTGATGGCCTTTGTTGTTTCTGTTTGGAAACGGGATTTTGGAAGCCCTTATCCATCCTTATCAGAAAGAGAGGAAGATGCAGACAGAAGCCCTTATATAGCTGTAGAGTGAAGGATAAAGGAATTTCCTGCAGGACGTACCGATGGCTAGCTCTCCTTTTTGGAAAGAGAGAGCTGGATTTGTGTATACAGAAAACTTTTTGTTTATCAGTCTTTGTCTCTCAATCAATTTTAGTAGTACTCTCTTTTCTATAATTTTGGATGACTATAAGGAATTAAGTAGACTTGATACTTCTTGTCCTCTTATTAGTATTTAATATTGCAGATCCTCTTGGTTCCTTCTTATATGGGGCTGTTTTAGAAAAGGCTAAACTTTCATGTTACTGAAATTGCTAACCACAATGTTCAGCTTGTCCTGCTTCCTTGCTTTTTCTTTAATGCATGACCCATTATTCTTAACCGCATCTGTTCATCAGCATTCTTTACTAGGCAATTCAAAGTGGGAGACATTAACAGCACAACTATCTGGCTTTGGATCTAAGTGTATTGTTCCTGCCCATTTTGAAAATAAAAACTTATATTGCTTTTTGCCCTCACGTTTGTAAATACTTGTACGGTTTCTAAATACATGAACACATGCATTCCTCCTTTGATTAGTGTGGCTGCCTTTCACATGCACAAGATTTCACAAGTTGCTTAGTAGTCAAGGCAAGGTTTCTGAGGAGGCATTCTGTACATGTACACCAGTGTATGGACACTATTGTTCAGTATACATTGTTTTCTTTGACTACTAAATGCAAAACTGGGAACAAGTCCAGAATCTTTAATAGCTAGAATGTATTTCATGCTGATCCCTTCTAAATTGGCATCCTCCATTGCCAAGTTCTAAAGTGAGGGCTGCGATGATGATGAATTTCTCTAATGGGGTTTTTGTTCAGGACTGCCTGATATTTGTATTTTCTGTGTTGTAGAATTCAGACAGAAGGTCTACACTTATAAAAGGGCCTGATATCTTTCTGGATGAAATGCCCTTAGGACAGAGGTGCTGATATTTTTGTATTAGATCCTGACATCCTTTTGGAATTTTATATTGTTACAGTATGTTTCTCAGCATACTCAGTTATGTCATTGCAGTATTGAAATTTACAACAGAGATTTTGTTAAGTTCTGTGTTGTTCTTGGTGTTATGTCTTGCTGGCTCAGGGCTTACACCAAAATAAGTTCTTAAAATCCTAACGCACAGTGGTAAAATAACAGAACTGTATCACCAGTGATGCTCTGTAGAAACTAATGTATTGTTTTTAAATAAATATGAAGAGGCCATCATGCACTCTTCTGGGCAGCACATGAAGAAGTGAGTTGCATGTGGAATGTGAGCGTCTTGCTTGTTAGCGGCTGAATTTCCCTGACACAAAAAGGGTGTTGGCAAAATATCCTGTATTACCGTGGGGAATGGAGTAAGCTGAGGTAGGGGACGTCATGCACGAACAACAGAATTTCCAAATATGAGGGCAAGAACAAGAGAAAGGGGAGAGTGGGAGAACAAAGAGGGAGGTAGGTACTCGTTTAGGAGAACAAAGTGACTGTAAATGAAAAAATCCAAGGAGTGGCTTGGTGGAGGCGTTGGACCATTGCTGGGTCTTTTCAACAGCATTGCATTTAAGTCATACTTGTTGAAGAAAGACAACAGCTGCTACTTTAGAGCATGAAGCAGAGGAACTATTGGAGGGGCAGAAAAATAATTATAGATATGGAGGAATGCCTTCCAGAGGGACTGTCTTGCACAAGCTGCTGCATTTTATGTAACAAAAGCCTGGTGACACAATGCGTGGTTTAGTCATAGGAGTGCCCTGGAGTGGACAAATCTTGTACATCTGGAAACATTTAAGCAAGTAATTAGTTTCTGGAAAAAATTACTCAAGGAAAATGTAGTCCATTGTGTTAGCTTCTGATTGCGTGTCTACAAGATGTATGATTCTCCTGACTGCCTTAACCATCCCTTCTTTGCTTCTTATACCCTCCAGTTGTATGTGGGAACAAGTAATACAGTAGTGTCAGGACTGACAAGGAGATATCACTAGGTGCAGTGGCATTTTTGCCCCTTTGGAAAAAGAACCAGTGAACAGGGGGGCTGAGGGAGGTGTTCCTCTCTCGCTCACTGCTAGCACTCCGTGTCCTGCCTGGTTATCCTGTGCTTTGAGAAGAACCTGATCCTGTGAGATTTCAGCACCTTGGTTAAGACATCACCAGAGAAGTCCTGGACCAGCTGGGGCAGTCTCTTCCACCAGGGTTCAAAAACTCCAGCTGTAACACAGCCTGCTCTGTTGCCCACTTTCTTCCTGGGCTTCCGTCACAGCAGATTTCCTTTGTTCCTTTACCACACAAAGAGAGAAATGTTTTGGGGAAGGGGTTAGGGAGCACAGCCTGCTTCCAGCCTTTCCCTCTCCCTACCGCTGGTGGAGAAGGCTGGCTGTAGCAGAGATACGGCAAGGCAGGGACCTTATGGAGAGTTGCAATACCATGCTGTCAGTGACTTCTGTGATGTTTGGTAGCACATGCATTTAGAATTATGATGCTACTGTGAGACTGACATGTTCCCCATCGAAGGGAATATTGCATGCCCCTGGCAATGTGCTGCCCGTCTGCATGTGGGTCGTAGGTGGAATATACATGTCTTCAGACCTGGAGTTACCAGTAGGGCAATAATTCAGGACCTGGTCAGGCTTGTGGCAGAATCTGCAGTGTCTCTAAAGAGCAAGATGGAGAACTGCAGGCCAGGACAAGAGGTTGTACTTGGCACCGGTGTCAGAGATTAGCCCTGAGCTCTGTGTGTTTTTGGTCATTGGTGTGCTAGCATGTTCTAACTGCTGCCTCCTGCAGAAGTTTTTTGGATGATAATTGCTGCGGTTGTTTGTCATTACAGAAGTAACACTGAAGGTCCATGTAAGCGATGCCACCACACATCAGCCAGTAACCGAAGCCTTCATTGAGATTTTTACCAACCAGATCTCCATTGCATCTGGAACCTCAGGAGCAGATGGCACTGCCTTCCTCAAGTTTCAGTATAAGTTGGGCAATCAGCTGATAGTGACTGCTAGTAAACATGCATATGTGCCAAATTCTGCACCATGGAAACCTGTAAGATTGCCTGGTAAGAGATCTTTATTTTTGTTCTGAGGTAAGATTTTGCATCTAAAGGAAGTTACACAATTTTGTATGGTGTGTTTTAATGCTTGTGATCCTGGATGGAAGAACATCTGTGCGTTTCAAAAAAAAAAAAAAAAAAAAAAAGGCAATGTTTCTTTCTCAGTTACACTGTGGCATCAGAGCTGTGCAGAGACTTGTTCTCCTCCTGGCTGTCCTTCATACAGTGCTGTGTCAGTTTTCAAACAACTGTTGGTGCTCTTACAGCTCCACAGAAAATACAAATCTATTCCTGATCTTTTTCTTTATGGGAACTCTATTTTCAAGTTCTTTGTTTCAGCAGCTTTCTCTCCCAAGGTGTAGCAACAACTCTTGCACCATAGGCAGTAGTATACAAAACAAGTCCTGGCCTTTTGCTTCTTGGCCATGTCCATAGAACAGTTTTAATCTGCAGTTATGTTATCCAGATATAAGAATTTTTTCTAACTTAATTAACATGGTTTGTTTCTTCTGGAGACAAACAAATATGACAATAATACTTGCATGTTAGTTTTTATCAGAAAGCCTCAAAATTTTATGGGAAGTGGGAGACTGTTGTACAGGAGGGGAAACTGAGTCGTGAAGAGTATTTCTGTACTGCTAGATAGAACAGATTGGGGGTGGCTTTCAGACCTTGAGATCTAGATGAATGTCCTATTGTCAGTTTTCATCTGCCTTTCCTCTAATCCCCAGCCACAATTAGGTTCCAAGTAGTTTGGGAATGGTCCCAGGCTTGTATTATACCCGAATCATACCTAAATATCACCTCAGATTTGGTAATTAGCCCAGACAAAAGCCATGCCAGATTTTAAGTGCACTAATATTTGAATAGTATAAATTATCATAGGGCAATGTTCAATCCCATGCCTTGGCTCCATTTTATTTATTAATATCAACATAGCCAGAGGGACTGTTTGACTTGCCACAAGGTCAAGCAGCAAATGTATTTTCAGATGGGGAAAGGAACTTGAATTTCTTCAAACCCAGAATTATGCTTTGGGCATTTCAACATGCTCTTTACTTATTTGCGTTCACTTGCTTCAGATGAGATAGACTGACTTCTTCCACATTTCCCCAACTGTATTCTGCCACACTTTCCAGATACTAAATGGAGCTGTAGTGAAGTCAAAGCCAGGCTCTTAGGTGCATAGTGAAAGAATAAGAAGCAACTGAAATGAGTTGCAGCAAGGAGAGTTTCAAATAAATAAAAGGGAACAACTCTTTCCAGCAGCAATAGTGAAAGATTGGAGCATGTTGCCCAGAAAGGTTGTGAAATCTCTGTCTTAAAAGATATTCAAAACTCAGGTGGACACCCCCTGCTTGCTTGAAGCAAGCTATGTCCAGAAGTCCCTTCCAAATATAATTGTCCTGTGACTCTGTTTAGAAATTTCCATTATGTTTTTTTCTGTTTAAATAAGATGAAGTGCAGCTTCTTCAGCATACTTCATGTACTTCGTTAAGACACAATCTTGTACGATTAAAGCATGCAATAACCTTATCTTGCCTGAACCTTTTCTTGCCTTGTGTCTCATATCTTTCTGACGTGTATTCTAGATCTTTTGAATGTGACCTACTCTTCCAGGGTCTGGAGTTTGTTTGGTTAGGTTTTGTGCTTTTTCTTAAATATTGATTTTGAGGGAAGGGAATCAAACATGGCATTATTGTTTTGGTAAGTCATTGAAGTTTAAAGAGCAGTAATGTTATACAGTTTCCACAAAATCTTTATTTCCACGGCTGAAATGTGAGCTTAACTCAGAAAATAGATTCCTTTCACCTCTGATCTTCCCCCGTTGAACTGGTAGATAGTTTGCCATTGATTTAATTTGAAGTAGAATCCTTTCTTTCGCTTTCTGTACCTTAAACATAATCCTTTCTTTGATTAAAGAAACAACAAGTTACAACTTGATATGCCCCATGTAAATTTAATAGGGTTGTTCTTTGAATTACTCCTTGAGAGGGACATGACATGAAAGTTCAGGCCCAAAATACCTAGGCGGTTATTTTTTGTATTAGCTAAGATGCCTATAGTCTTTAAAATAAACTTTCCAAGAGCTGTTTGTATTTAAATACCTGTCGTGCTTGGAACCAGCACAATACAGAAGTTTTGAAATCCATGGGAGTTTTGCTGCTGTTATTTTTAACCAGATTGAATATTGGGGAACAGGCAGCATATTTAAATCCTGATTTTGCAGTGTGCACTCTGGGCATGTGCATACGGTGGGATCCTCATTTCCCAAAAATGCTTTTTAACAGTACAAGTAGTTGTCAAGCCACAAAGCAGATACGCCATTCTGAGCAGCAGTCCACCCACAGCACTGGTTTAAGCTAATGTGCTGTCCTGTGTGTTGTGGTGAATGAAGTATGGACACATTTACTTCAAACACCTCAATGTGGAAATGATAACCACAAGTGGGGAGTAGGTTTGAAAGCTGTAGGGTGGTAATGTTTAAAGTGCTGTAATAGACTTAGCCAAAGGATCACGATTCTTCCATCACGGTCAATGTTCATTAGTTACAATCTCATGCTGAAAAGCTGTGCAGCCATGGAACTTGTGATATTATCGTAATAGCAGGAGTAAGCATCGAGGGTTTTCTTTTCTCATAATTAGGCAGAAATGAACTTTTCTTATATTAACCAAAATAATTAATAACTCTTTAAGTCTTATTATGCAGGAGGATTAGTTGTTTATATAGTGATAAATGGTAGGAGGAAAAGATTAAGATCTCTTTTTCCATTAACCTATTTATCAGCAGAGCCATGACTCCACTTATTAACAGTTCATTAATTTAACGTCACTTGAGTTGTTGACGTGTTCATGATGGAAGATGTGCACTTCTCTCTGCTCTTAGCTATGCATATATTTTTCCTTGTAAATAATTTGTAAGAAAAAAAATTTGTGAGTGGTAGTCCGTATTTAAGAAGACATTTTTGGAGATGTGTGTGCAATGAAGCGAGGGAAGTTGCTGAGGCAGCACAGTTCAGACTAGCTGGTAGGGTCAGTCAAAGCAAACTGTGGTATTCACTGCAGTGAAATGTAGTTCTAGCAGAGGATGCTCGTGGTATTTCTGGGAGAGGAGTCACTGGAAAGCAGTGACTCTGCAGAAGATGTGAGACATGGTAGATGAACACTTGAAAATAACCCCTCAATGCAGCACTGCAAGAAAGAGGAGTAGTCTGATCCGTAGCTGTAAAATAAGGTAAAGACTGAGAAGGCAGAGTATGGTATTTCAGAACTTGTCCTCAGTGTAGCCACTCACAGAAATGTGTGTCCAGTTCTGGATATATGCTTCAAGAAAAATGTTTGAAACTGCAGGGTTATATGAGGAGTGATTAAAAGATTGGAAAATACAGTTTACAGGGAAAGACCTGGAAGTGCTTAATTTATTTTGTTCACCAGAGAGAAAGTTCATGGGGTAATTTGATCATAGTCCATCAGTACCTGCATAGAGAACAGGAAAGGGGTAAGAGAGAGTTCTTCTGTCTAGCAGGCTTGTATAAAAAGAAGATCAAATGGCTGGAAGTCTAACCTCAATAAATTTTGATGGGTAGAAAGACATATAGTTTAACTGCCCTCATAATTATTTACTAGAACATTCATGTTGTGGGGTAGTCTTCGGCATTGGACACCTTTAAAAGAAAATTGGATTGTTTTTCTACAACGTATTTTCTAGTTTAAGCACAGCTATTGGATCTGAAGCAATAATTAATTCAAGGAAGGCTGTAGTTATACAGCAGAAAGACCAGATCATCATAGTCAGCCTTCTGGCCTTAAAAACTGACTTTCTGCCTTTGTCCTGCTGAGAAAAGATTGTGCAGACAAGTCCAAGGGAAGTTTAGGGGTTATATATGCATTATAGTCTGGCATATATGGAACAAGATGTTGGCAGGGTTTATTGTATTGAGCTCCCCAGGATGTCTGAATTATATTAGCTTTCTTCATAGAAATTAAGTTATTGGAGTAAAGACAAACTAATTTTGTAATTGTGGCCTTAGTGCTACTTACACAGTAGGCACTCTTACTTATGTTGTCTGGTGTATAGATCAGTTTCACATGTAAAGCATTTGAAAGAAAATTCTCAGCTGTAATTACAATAACATGATTTTTTTATTTTAGTTTTTCTAATGCTGTTATATACTGTTAAGACCATCTTCTACATTATGGTTCTTATCAGTGTGTTTCTCTTAAGTTTATTCTCCTTTCTCCTGTATTTCTCCCAGATACTAAAATTTCTGATCTTTAAAGGGGGAATAGATTTCTTAAAACAGAAAGAGTGTACAGTCTTGGGATTGGTTTCTAACATCTCTGGGGAAAAATTTCTAACATCTGTGTGGTCTCTTGGATCAAGTAATACGTATTAATTTAGAGGAAACTTAAAAATCTCCCAAAAATCAGAAGAAGAGCTGGTACTGTTCTTTTATTAATCAGTTCTGGAAATATCTTCCTCAGCTTGTGGTCACTTCAAAATGAGATTAATACTTTCCAGGTGAAAATGTGAGATGCTGCCCAGTTACCAAAAATTACTAGACTGCATTAATCTCCTCCTCTCCTTCTATCTTTGAAAGCCATGCATGGACTGCAAGCGGATCTACTCACTGTTTTGATGGGTGTTAATGGCTAATTCCATACGTATTTCTGGTCTTCTGGATCTGAAAAATTTGTAATTAAATTATATAATGTTCTTTACTCTCCAAAGATGTGTGTGCATACCTACACATCCCCCTGTAAGGAATGTCAGTACCCAGTGGCAGGGGAGGCCCTTGCAGATAGATTTCTTGCAGCAAATACTGTTTATCTGTCCCCTTTTGCACCACTGGTAGAATGACGGTAGTTCTGCTATATATAGCACTTCTGTAGTATGGGTGGTGACTCAGTAAGAACATGCTGTATTTTAAAGCAAATTACTCAGACTTATTCATCATACTTTGCCTTTCTCTATAACTTTTTATGTAAGCATCTCAAAGTATTTAAATTTAAATTTCATTAAAATGTTCCTGAAGTAGGAAGTATAACTGTTTTGCAGAAAAGATAATTCAGTCAGACTGAGTTAGCATTTCACTCCTCTTTATGTAATGACAAGTCTTTCTGCAGAGCTGGGAATTATAACTTGAAACCCTGCTTTCCACTGCACTCTTCTGTACTTTGAGCTACCATGCATGACTTTATCAGGAGTCAAAGCATCAAATGTAATGTTTAGTTCAATAATAATTACCCTGGCAATTTAATTATTTGGTTTAGAAAATGCACATGGTTTCTGTCATGTATAAAGTATTATTGTAATAGTTTGGGTGGCCTGCTTTTGCAAAAATTTAGAAAAAAGTAAGTGCTGTTGTTGTTGAGTTATGTTTGTAAGAATTCAAATACATCCCACTTAAACCACTTCTCTCCCACAGTGTTCTCTTCACTGAGTCTCGGCCTTCTTCCTGAACGTTCAGCTACTCTAATGGTCTATGATGATGTAGTCCAGATAGTCTCAGGATTTCAAGGTATGCTGGTTTTTGGAAGCCAGAATTGAAATTTGAATGACACTTTAAACAAAAATGTGGACAGCCCGGTGCTTTCTGAACACTGTCCCATGGGTGAGACTTGTATTTTGTGTGGAGTTCCTCTGAGTTCCCTGAAGAATGCTCCTCTGTGGGATTGTTTTACCAAATTGGTTAATAGCTAAATTCATCCATAACTGCTGTGACTAGGGAAATAAAGTTACTTGGTAATAAATAAGTTTGGACTTCAGTGTGTCATTTGAGAGCTAGAGATTAAATTTCTTTTGCTATCTGTTGGGTGTTTCTTTCATCTACCCTCATTTAACCATCCTTGCAGTAAATATTTTCTGCTGTTCTTATTGGTCTAAGAATTTTATCTGGTTTTATTTTGTTTCTTGCTTCCTACTGTGAATGCCTTAGAAATTTATGGCATAGAAAAACTAAAAAAATTCTCATATCTGCATTGTTGTGTACCTTACATAATCTTGCTTTTCTCAATTACTTCCTGTGGAGCCCTTATCAGATTGCCTGCAAACCCACATACTACAGGATGAAACCCATTGCATTAAAAGAATAAAGTTTGAATCACTTTTTCATTAATACAAACACAGAAGTTAAAGCAACTGTAGTGTCAGATGAATGCTGTGTTTTCTAAATTGCACGGTAAAGAAATGTTCATCTGACCTAGGCATCTGAACCTAACTTAGCCCAATTGATGTGGTAGCTGAGGTAAGTCTGTTAACAAAAGAACAGAAGTTTTTAAAGATACTTTGAACCAAAACAAGGGGACGTCCTTCCTGTGAATGAACACTCTTATTATGCATAAACTGTGTCTTATTCACATGTATTATGATTACTATCATTTTAAACTAACAGATAATTAATAAACAGAGGAATACTATTTACAATAATATTCTAAGATAACCTTGTTTTATCTGAGGGAATATAATACAATGATGCCTTCCTGACATCTTTTTTTACAGTTAGAAACCATCCAGACACAACAGGCTTTTCATTAATGATAGCACTAGATATGACTGGAGCTGAAAAAACACTAAACAGATTAAGTAGCTGATGGAACACTCAGAAGGAGCTGGAGAACAGCACAGCTGCTGTATGTATATTCTGCAATTTGAGAGCTGACATTATCTAATGGGATAAATTAGATGGACGGTGAATTGTGTTAAACCACAAGGGATTCCATTGCACAAAACACGAAGCATTGTTTACCCACAGTATTCTGTGAGCATGGTGTATTAAATACTTTTATTCTTATGCCAATATGCTAATATTGTGCAATTAACTTAAAAAGAACAATCTTTTCATGTTTACTACTTCCCTTCTTCAAAAAAAGCAGGAGATCTTAAAGGGCTAGAGGGACATTAACAGCCAAGTGGCACTTACAAATATTTTCTACATAGTCTTGCTCCCTTCAGTGAACTGATCTAGAGCGTTCCAAACATATTTAAATTAGAATAGTATAACTGGTTCTGCTGGTGTAGCAGAGAAAGAGGATAAAGGAAGAAAACGGTACCCATAGTATTCTAAGAGTTGGAATTTGGACTCTTTGTCTTGCACAGTAAAAACAATTTTATGGGACCAGCCCACGCTCTTTTTCTTGGGAATTCTCTTGTGATGAAACTTAAATGAAAGGCAGCCTGTATATTGTACCAGCATTTGAATGGAGCCTTTCTAGTCTTGATCCAAAATCCTTGTGACCTAGTTTTTCTCTGTTACTTCTCCAATTTATTTCCCAGTGACTTTGAGCTTTTATGAAGAGAACTGATCAGGAGTAACCTTAGTGCAAAAACAAGAGCAAAACAAACTCATTATACCAGGAACAGACTGGGAACACTGGTGTTTGAAGCACCAGTCAAAGGGAAAGAAAGGCCTGTCTAGTATAATAAGTTACCAATTGCTTTTGAATAATTAATCGAGCAAGGGACTTACTATGGAACTGAGATGTTTGTCTGAGTTGATGCAACCAGCTTAATTTTCATGATGGCATTACAATCCACTGCTGCGCTCTGTCCGTAATTGCGAGGGATGGAGCTTGCCAGCCTCTGGGTCATTTATGTTATTTAATATTGGCACAGTGATGAGCTGAAGTTCAGTGTTCAGTCGATGGGCGCTGTACTGGTACCCTCTGTCTGCCTGTGACATATGAGCAATCAGAGCACAAATTCATTATACTTCTGATGTTACTTCATAGACTGAAGCTCAAATACTGGTGTGGTGCCACAAGTCGCACATCCAGCATGGCAGGAGATGCCTTACAGGACCTCCTTGAGGTGGTTGCATGTTCAGCTGCATGCTGGCAAACTGGAGCTGATGGCATTTGAATCATGGCCAGTCTGTTGACAAGGGGATGTTTAAAGAAGATAAGATCAGTGCTCAGAAGTTCTTCCCCTGTTGTGGTTTTAAACCCAGCTGGCAGCAAACACCACACAGCCACTCATTCACCCTTCCCCCTCTGGGGGATGGGGGAGACAGTTAAAGGGGTAAAGGAAAAAGACACTTGTGGGTTGAGATAAGAACAATTTAATAACTAAACTACAGCAAAACAGAAAATAATAATAACAGTAATCTATGTATTTGTATATTTTTATATATTAATTATAACCATGAAACTGCTCACCATCTGATGACCAAGGTTCAGCCTGTTCTTGGTTGATGATTTTGGAGCAGGGAGAGTCCAGAAACCACAATCTCAGAAAAGACGTAAGAGTCTGAGTGTCCGAGAGAACAAGCAGCAACTAAGAGATCAAGGGCTGACCCCAAGAGAGGGGCAACCCAGAGAGTAAGGATTGCCTGAAGTTCTCTCTCTCTTATTATGGCATGATGTCTATGATGTGGAATATACCATTGGCCAATTTGGGTCTCAATCTTAAACATAAGGTCAAATCCTAGGCTAATAATTGGGGCTGTGCTCCCTCCCCACTTCTCTGGCACCTGCAGATGAGAACAGCAGAGAAGCTGAAAAGTCCTTGATTATCCTGGCAGCAACTATAAACATCAGTATGTTACCAGCCTTCTTCTCAGCACAAATACAAAACATAGCCTCTTACCAGCTGCTATGAAAAAAAATTAACTCTGTCCCAGCTGAAACCAAGGCACCCCTCATGGCAAGGGGAGGGAGCTCACATGCCAATTTTATACTTGAATGCATTTGGGTTTTGTAAGTCAAAACTGGGTATCTTCAATAACAGAAGAAACAGTAATAATCTACTCCCAGCGGCAAGTGGTGACTTGTGGAAAAATACTCTTAAGAGTCTGGTCAGTAAAAGTCTTTCTCTCCATTGTACCATTTCCAATTCCCTCCAATAAGTCTGTTCCCAAACAAGCCCCAGAATGCTTAATGACCTCTGCTAAAGGAGTACTTTGGACTGTCTTAAAAAACAAGGTGGTGAGAGAAGACGAAAGCATTGATAGCTGCCTCCCTCACAAGCCTTTTGCTGGTAGCTCCTGATCTTCTGCCCCTTTTAAGTCTCTTGGTGGGTTTGGGGAGACCCAGCTGAGGAGCTAAGAGAGGAGGTGAGCTGAGGGGCAGGTTTCGGGTGGATATCAATATCAAGGAGTTTGTTAGTCTAGGGTGTGAATTAACTACTCTGCACTGATGTATTGTATGTATGTGCACTATCTATGGAGGAAGCTGTTTCTTCTATCTTAAAAATTTTATCCGAGTTGATTGCTGCCAGGTTTGGGGCTTAGTCATAGGAGTGCTTTACATTGCCTGTAGGATTGAAGAAACTGAGGTTGGCTTCCTGAGTCCTCCCTATCTGGTTAAAATTTGCATCTCATGGCTCTCCCGGTGCTACAAAACAACCAATTTTTAATAGAAAACACCAGAGCCTCACCGTAAATTACAGTGTTACAGGCTCAACAACAGTTACTTTGGTTTTAAATCTTATTATTCAGAAATATAATACTAGTTCTTAGCAACTTGAATAATTAGTTTTAACCAAAGATTCAGACAGCAGAAAATCCTACAGTTGTACACTGAGCTGCTAGTGATAATCCTAATGTCAGTTTCTTTGTTATGTTTTGTTTTTCTGTTTTGTTACTGTGGGCGCTGATCCCTGCGGGCCGGAGGAGCCCGCCCAGCAGTGCAGTCAGAGGTTCCTGAGTGCTTGAGCAGATCTGTCCCTGAGGTACATACAGCAAACGACTACGGTATTGCAGAGTACACAGGAGATAGATCTTCCCCAAGTTTGTTGCAGTCAATTTATGTAGTCTTTTACGTTGTTTTCCGTTTAGACGTAGAAATTCGGCAAGGAAGATTTCTTCCCATATCATACAGGTGTTGTTTAATGACTGTCTTAAACACTTAAGGATACTGCTAGTCTTGAGAGCCTGCTGTAAATATTTAAATGTTTCAGAAATTAAAACCAAAAAATGGTGTTATTGCTTTTTCTTGCAGAATTACCGAAGAAATGACAGCTGAACAATGATCAGCTCTTTGGTGATAATTGACCACCTACACAGCAATTTTTGTTGGCCAATACAAAATTAGTTCTGTGGAATTGTATGTTTTCTCATAGCTAGAGCTCCTCTTAGAAAATGCTGCACGAAAAGATTCTAGTCTCCCAGTTAATGACATTGGCAGTTATAAAGCTTAGGAGTCTTGAGTGAAGCTCTTTAATCTTTCTTGCAGTGAAGTTACATGTAACCTAAAAGTGCTGTCAGAAACTAATAGGGGAAAAGAAGCAAAATTGTTTTGAGTTAACATCTTTGAACTGCGTAGTCAAATATGAATTAAGAAAAAAACTGCTTGCCTCTTGTTTTTGTGCTGTGTGGGGAGTGTTCTGTGAGTATTCAAGATGAGCCCTGGAGAATACAAAAGCTTTTGATTTAAAAAATAATTTGCGTTTTGCACACACAAACTTGCAGATGGAGTTTTGCTGTGTGTTGCTAAACAGTATTAACGGTGAGCATCCGCTGAAAGAGACTCTTGGCTTTATGAACTGGGATTCAAATGAGACACAAAGTGCCATAGTACATGAAACAGACTTAAATCATGTTGCAGCAAAGATTCTTCAAATTAACACCTAGTGATCTTGAAAAAAAACACTAAAACTGTACAAGACAGAGGAAAAGACAGAAATCTTACATGCCAAGCAATCTGGTTCTGCTTAGATGTGGTGTTTGCGTGGGAAAATATGGAACCTCTTGTCATCCACGCTTTGTCAAATGAATCTTTTTATACAGTGATTTAAATAAAGTGAGTCTAATCTCAGTACTAGAGATAGTTAATGTGGCCGAAGCTTCATAAAAATTAAATACAGAAATTGCACAAGTTAATTGGGACTACAGGTAGAATTGTCTCTTAGAAAATAACTTTAAAGAGTATAAACTACATTTATCTTGCTGTTTTAGGAAAAACAAAATTTAAACAAATATGGTGAACTGGGTGTTTTTCTAAGCTTTCACATACCTTACCTCTGAGCTCAGTTTTAGTTTCAGTTATATTCATTAAAAGAGGTATGTAATGAAATTAGAGGTGATCTGGGAAAATAACATAGTCAGAAAAGCTTCTGATATTAGGTGCCTTCACAATTTTGCTGTGTGATACATGGGAAAAATAATGGCAACTGCAAAGTAAATGTAAAAATACTGGTTTTCCCCCTCTTCCGTAATAGCCTTCTGATGTCTCTGTCTTGCAATTTATAAATTTTAAAAAAACCTGTAAATGTGTCTCCATAAATATGAACACCTAAACATTCTGCCCACCTTGGATATAAAGTAACTTTTAATTTTTTTAGGTGCACGGACTCAGCCACAAGTTCACTTTCAGAGAAGATCTGTGAAATTACCAGAGAACACTAGCTACAGTGATTTGACAGCATATCTGACTGCAGCCAGTTCACCCTGGGAAGTGGACAGTTTTCCTTATTTGCAGGGATTAGATGGAAATGGAACAGGTAACCCACTACTTCGGTTTTCTTCTGATTTCATATTGGTTCAGGGACTGACTTTTGACCATCATTTTTTCCATTCCCCATTCTGGCAAACATTCTTTAAAATTTGGGAGACGTGGTAGGTTCAACTTCCCTATCAAAATGCTGTTCCAATAAGCAAGAGAGCAAGGTCCGCTATCCCTTAAATGAGGCCCCTGGATAGCAAAGTTGAAGACTCCTTGGCCTTGGGAGATCAGCAAAGTTTGTTACGCTTGTAGTTTAGAGCTAAGTCTCCAAATGTGTCACACACGCATGTACAAGAGTGGGGATTAATGTGAAGGGACAAAAGAGAACTTGAGGATGCCAATTGAACTCTTGTTCAGTTTTTTTTCTAAAAATAGATAAAATGCCTCTATAGCAAGGATTTAACACTCTGTTGTTTCAGCTAAGTGTTGTTTCAATGGCTTTGTTAATACTTTTGAATCTAGCTTCAGCCAAAAATGCACGAATTTATCTAGCACCAAAGGGAGAACAATGAAAATTCATAGTAGAAACACAACCAGTGTTAAGTTCAAAGCTGTAATACGTTTTTGTGATGGTAAGTGCCTGTTACTCTTCTTCCACTTCTCATTTAGTCTTGATTGAAATAATTGGTGTTGTGTAGAGAAAAATAGAAGAATTTGGCATAGAAGTCTTCAAATTCTTAAAATACTGGTTTGAAAAGGAGAATAATAAGTTCTCTGTCCGTGTTGGGTTAGAAAGCAAGCAGTGGACTTGCAGTGCAGCAAGAAAGATTCAGGCTAGTGATTAGGAGAACCTTGCTGTGGTGATGATAGTTTAAACTGTAGAATCAATTGCTTGAGGGTGTTGGACAGAGTTAGACAATCACCTGTGAGGATGGCATAGGCATAGCTGAGCCTGCTTTGAAGCAGGCTGAATAACCCCTTGAGGTCCCTCCCTGCTGTTTCTTAAGATGCATTTACCTGTGATGTGTTGATCTAGGTGACTTTGAATGCTAGGTTGTGTGTATAAATGGTATGTACTGAGCTTGCTAGCTTTTCCTTAAAAAAACAAAAGCAAAATAAACTTCCCCTGCCCTTTGTAGAAATCTGAATATCTCCTTTTCTATGACAATTAGAAATGTGGCTGCTACCTTACTCCAATCCTGTCTGCTCCAGTGAGTACATCTCATCCTGTCTTATTCTTTCTTTGTCATTTTCCTGTTCTCATCTTCAACCTTTAGTTTTCTCTGGCTCTTCATACTCAGACATGATCAATTATCTTTTTATCTTTTTAAAAACAAAGGAATGCACTTGATCTCACTCGTCTGTCTACTTCCTCATCCCCTTTCTTTTTATCTTTAAACCCACTGAACAAACTGTTGACAATGTGTGTGGGATTCCTCTCTCCCAAATCTTTCCTTAGTATGCTGCAACACAGCTTTCCACCCTTGCATTTATTTAACGAAAACAGGTCTTGCCAAGATTTCAGATTATCACCTCCCTTGGGAACTGCACAACCAGGACATCATCTTTCTCCTGTTTTACCTCCTAGCCTACAAAACAGATTAATGCACCCTTGATTTTTTTTAGTCTTCTGTACACTTGCATGACAGGAACTTTCCTGCTTGAGCATAGGGGCCTGGATTTGACTTGTGTTAGCCTTCAAGTAAAAGTATGTCACAAAACACTAAAATGACCAGCAAGGAAATGGAGTTTAAGAGACTAAGAAGAGCTTTGTTTTCTGAACACGGTAGTATTCAGTATGGTATAATACAGACTACAAATACAATATATTTGTATGTGCACTGTACTATAGGTGAAATATTCTCTGTTTTTAGTAGAAGTTTCTTCTGCTGTGGAAACATAAAACTTTAAAATTCTAAGCTTGTATTGACTTCCTTTTCTTCATCTCCAAGTGACTTGTTGAAAATTTCACTCAAAAAACTTTTGAAGGAGTAAAAAATTAGATCACCATCTCCTGGGGATTTTTTAATATTTCTTCTCCCAAGAGAAAAAGGGAAATACGTACAAATTGTAGAATTCTAAAAAAAACTTAGCGTTAATTGCATGTGAAATTTTGGAGTGTTTGCGAACGCTGCACCTTCTTCCATCTCCCACCTCTCCTCCCCCTCCGTTACTCCTTTATTCTTTCACTGTTTTTTTAATATGTCTGTAGAGTTTTGGAAAGGTCCTCCCATTTGTTTCAGTCAGCTGAGTTCTCTGGCTAGTATTTATCCAGAATGACTTTACAGTTGTTTTAGCTAAAACCTATTCTCTATGAGTTTAACAGTTTTCACAAAATCCCATCTGGGTGTTGAAGTAGTAATATGGAGCAGTGAAAATTCATTGCATGAATCAGCATGTTCCAAACATAAAAATTCAAATAATTTAGCTGCAAGTAGTGACAAGCCTGTATAGTGTTAGCTTATTGTTTGTATTAATCACTAGTTGGAGAGCAGTAAGATAGTTTCACAAAATCTTGTCCTTTTAACCAAACTAAACAAAACTTTCCATCGTCTGCATTAATGGAGCAAGCTGGCTAATAACCATTACTCCTGCTGGTTTTGTAGGCTGTTTGTTTCTTTATAAAGAGTCAAGTCTAAGTCACAGTGGATTTTTCTCTGATTACTTGTAGAGCTCTTTACAGGTCACCAGATGTCAAATATGACAAGAAATAAACGAAAGCTGACATTTATTGAAGTCCATTCCCACTTAATCTGTGCATGTGTTTATCAGTTTTATAGCATGTGAGAGTTTCATAAGCACTGATTTTAATTAACCTTCACAACAGAAAAGAGAAAAATTTATCTTTTTAATGAGCATTTACATGCTGTGCAAGATGGCAAACTGAAGGATTATTTCTTCTTAACCAGAGGTCACTGGATGTCAGAAATTTTTTCATCTTCTAATATAACTTGTTCAACTCAGTACTGAACAAAGTGTCAGTGCTTCTTAAGTAAATAGATGCAAACAGTGTTTCACCATGGGAGTGCTGCTTTTGGGGCTGAAAACTCGTTTTTACAGGTGTTAGGCAGGTTGCTTTATCAAGACAGCAAAATTCAAAACATTCACCATCTAAAAATAAGTAAAATGTAAAACATAATTTAATCTTTAATATTAATGTTTCTAGAATCTGAAGTTATACCTTTTATCATTAGGACTTTGTATATGACAGAATGTGGTTGGGTTATGATACTTAGCAATGGGAATTTGTTTCTCTCATACCAGCCTGAGAAACTCAGTGACCCAAGTCCAGTGACCTGGGGACAGGAATCAATCTGGTGAAAGTTATGGGTGCATGGCGGAGGCAGTGGATTGAACAATCAGGAATAAAGAACAACCTTTTCCCCACTGGTTCCGTCCTCTATCTCTCTGCTTTGTACATTAAAGCTGTAAGGGATGATACTATGCACCATTGGAGCCTGTAATATTAATGCTCGAGTATGCTGGGAACCTTCCCCTATGCCCTAGTTGAATTCCCAAACCTTATTTTTCTGGTTTTTCTCGCAGTTTCTTCTGTGGCTATCTTATATGGGAACCGTCAGAGTGCCTCTTTTCTCAGCACTTTAATCCTTCTGGAAGATAGGCTTCTGCTCCGCAGTTCACAGTAGTTCAAAGCATTTTGTGTGCCCCTTGCGTGTGCTTTCATCCATCCTTGGCCTGTCAGCTGTGCAACAGTGACACTGTCCTTGAGAACTGGGGAAAATGTGCATCAGAGTAGATGCTATAGTAAATAAGCCACGTGCAAAGTTACTTCCAGTTATTTTCCATGTCTTCAGTTTGGAGCCTCTTGCAAAATTAAAAGAATTTAAAATTCAGAGTTTTGAGGAGTTTTGTCTTTCTTAAACCTTGTTTTCTTTTTTACACCTTTTTAACCTTGTTGTGTCTTGGAGTAGCAGGTGGTATACTACCTGCACTGCTGGGTGCCAATGTGGTTTTACAGGATTACAGGATGGGCAGTACCCCGCTCTCTGCCAGCCAGGTGCCCCTGTCCCTTCTCTCAGATTAGTGCCGCAGCAGGATGAGCATCTGCAGAATCCCCAGAGCCACAGTGAAGGAGGCTCAAGGGCTGCAGCTGCTCTTAGCAGCGGCATGGACCTGGGTCAGCTCAGGCTCCTTGCGAAACTGGAAGCTCCGTTTCAAACCACTACACCTATTGTTTTGAGCTGCAGATCTTCTTGGTTTTAAACCTAAAGCTTTTTTTCCCCTGAATGCACGTATATGTCTCTGTTATTCTTCCCTGTCATTGATTCACTTGGTTAAATAGTTGAAGGATTAAAACTTTTTTTTTTAATCTTGCTGTCATGAAGTAGTGTCCATTGGCGTGCAGTTTAAAAGTAAAGAATTATCTTACATAGACAAGAAGATAACAGTGTGCATCCTAATAATCCATTTAGCTTGGTTTATTCCCGTGAAAGGCCAAAGGAAATATATACTGGCGTTCTTGAAGATACTACCAATAATCCTTGCAGTATCACTGCATGTTTGGGTGTTTGTTAGTTATGATACGGGCTTATACAAATAAAGGCTTGTGAGATATATTTTTATCTGTGATTATGGCTTCGATACTCACGTATTTAGTTTAAGATGAATAAAGATGAGAAAATATATGCAGGAGATTTTTGCATTGTAGTTTTCTTGTGAAAAATCCAGAAGTGTAGATGTCTTGGTTGTGGTCAATTTTGTGAGGTAGGGAAGATTGCTACTACCATCCCTTGGGAAGTGTGTTGGTCCAGTACTGCAGCGTTGAACCACCTGGGTGTATCTTAAATTCAGTGAAATTCTGTAGTCGCAATGTTCATTCATTCTCTCAGGAGGAAACAGCACTAGGTATGACCTCACCCCCGTCACTGCAGTCAGTGTTCATCTCCTCAACAGCGATGGGACTCCAATCGCCGTGAATGGCCCCATCTATGTAACAGTGCCTCTGCCAACAAACAGCAACTTGAAGCACAATGCACACGTTCCAGCATGGAGGTTTGACCAAAAATTTGGTAGGTAACATCTAATGGTGATTCCCTAGATGGCTTAATTTGTCTGAAACTAATGTGTCACTGTATTTATTATGTTAATATAGTGAGGTCTTAACTGGAGTGTACAGAAATCTGTTTTCTCTCTAAAAAGAGAGAAGTCCGAGTTTTATTAATCAAGTAATATATATCTGCAAATATACTTGAGTAGCATTGTGTGCCACTTCCAGACAAATTTTTTTGTAAATGTACCATTTGCAATTATTAAATACTTTATGTAAAACCTACCTTGAGAGAATTTTATTTCACCCAGAGACAGAAGCAGAGAGACATATTCACTGTGACATTGAATTGGAAGTCTGGAGAAATGGAAACTAGCCTTATCTTTGCCAGCAGCCAGCTATCTGACCTTTGGTCAGTCTCTTGTCTCTAACTCGTTTTCCTGCCTGTCAGATAGGAAACGTAATACTGACTTCCTTTGTAAATCACTTTGAGATTAACTAATACTATGAAGAAGGAAAGTACAGGTAAATGATTTAAAAACAAAAAAATAGAAGCAAGCAAAATCCATGGAGTATTTTGAAAGGACAGAATGACCAATCAACATAAGCTGTAAAATGCACTCAGTTTTTTACATTGCAGGATAACATTTGCTATTGTGAATAGGATTTTTTCCAGAAATATGTGGTTTAAGTTCTCTATTTTTGTTTTGGTTTGTTTTTTCATTGCTAGCTGGTATACCATGCTGGCCTTTACACCTCCGCAGTGTAAAGGATTAAGGGGTACGTAAGTCTTGTCATGGTGATTCCCTTTCAGTTATTGCACTGTGCCTTCCAGTATCTACCAGATGGTTGTTAAGAAAAAGAAGTGAAAAAAGAAGAATGGAAGGGGAGAAAGGTAGAAGCTGTGAGGAAGAGAGGAAGAAAAAGGAGCCAGAAATGTGGATCTGCCTGGACAGTCGGTGGGGTTTTGTCACTGCAAGGCAAATGTTTTGAGCCAGTTTATGATCACATCCAGAAGTAGAGCAACGAGCATGAAACCAGCATGTTGGAGGAAGGGAGGGGAGGGGGGATAACATTTTTGCTTCCTTCCTGCCTCTGTTTGCTGAAAAAGGTGATGTATTTTGAAATAGCATGCCTATAAATCTCTTGTCAGAAGTTGGCTGTATTAGAGAGTAAAGCAGTAGGATTTAATTAAGAATAAACTTGAATATGATATAAAATTGAGTAGAAAAAGAGCACAATTAATGGATTCGGTGTTTCCCTTAGCTGTGGAAATGGCACTTTTTCCTGTGGTGCCCTGGCAGTAAATTTCTCTACATTCTTACTGAAACTGGTTTTGATTTGTGATTCTAAAAACTATTTTGTTTTCCCTTGTTAAAAAAAAAAAAAAAAGACACAGAAGACTGACTCACGTTTACTTTCTCTAAAAGAAGCAGTCCATCCCCAACTCTTCCTGTCAGCTGTGTTATAGCTGCAGCCTGCCTCATTGCCAGTTCCTCACTGCTAGTGAAATGGTTCTGATTTTGATTATGGAGCTTTCTCATTTATGGCCAAATTTCCATGCCCCTGTGGTGGGGCCACAAAAGCTCTCTCTTAGTATGGATTATGGTTTTTACTTTTGTATATAAAGAGCTAGTTACCCTATTGCGTGCAGTATTTATTAGTATAGATCAATATGGGTTACTTAATTAGTGTTGCAAGCTTAAGGCTCCCAATCTTGAGACAAGTCCAACCTTGTTTGCTTCATGACAAACTGCTGGAGCACTTGTGTTATTGGGAGGGGAAAGCATGAGGACCACTGAACAAAATGAGCCTTTGACAGGCCACTTGGCTTCACAAAGCCATGGAGAGGAAGGTATTGAAGATGTCATGCGTAGGCTCCAGCTCACACTTGAGCTGAAGAAAGCATCTTTCCATGCAACCAAAGATGTTGAACAAAGATACATTTAAGCCCTGACTGCAGCATGCCAGTTCTAGCAGAATTTTGGCCACATCCCAACCAATTTAAATTAAGAGTAGCCTGATATAATAAATAGAGCGGCCACTCTTATCTTATGCAGGCTACATTAGCACCCTAAGGGCTGTCAAACTAGCTGTACGTAGCATGAACGTGGTGGTACCCTGTCGTTTCCCATCCCTTTTGTGCTTGGACTGTGAAGGGAGAAGAATGGATGACTGGGATGGCTCCATGCTGGAGAAATCTTTAACTGGCAAATAAGTTGTTGTAACCCATTTGCACTGCCAGATCTGTGCCTAGTCAGGATAGGACCTCTAACCTCATTACTCTAATTTTGTCTTTCAATTCAGGAGTGTCTTTTTTTCAGTGCTAGTTATGTTGTGGTCTCTCCTTAATAGATTTTTGGTGGCTTAAATTTTCACATCTATTTCTGAAAATTGGGTAAATGCCAGAGATGGAAAGCTATGACTGTTACCAGGCAATAATGCAGCGCTTCTCTCTAGCATATTGATAGTACAGTGGGTACTCGTTCATGCAAGCCATTATTTGTGTTCAGAGGCCATGTGGTTGTTGTCATTACTGAATGAAGTATAATTTCTGCTCTAAAAAGCAGAAATACTTTTCACTTTTAGAGGAGGGAGTGGAGAAGGGACAGAAATACTGCAAGTATGTTTTAAACCTTAGAATCGCATACATTTTGCTGAAATCATGATTTACTAATATAAATCCAGTGGCTTCTGATTGGAAGTGGAGATTTTCATAGTTTCTACAGAAATTACACATATTTGCGTGTTATGTGAGCCAAAAATAATGAATAGCTTTTTAGGATGTTTACCATAAACAATCTGTATTTTCATTACCACGGTTTCTGTCCTTGAGAGAGAACTGGGGAGAGAAGGGGGAGAAGCAGCATAGTCTACTTAAGGCTGAGGGTGGCTCCATTGACACTGATGAAACACACAGCCAGAAGAAGCAGGCTGACGTCAAAATAAGACAATCTGTTCCATCTATTTTATACTGTTCCAGAGATTTTTTTCATTACAAAAAAAACTTACTACCCTGCGTGCACAGCAAGCAAATTAAAGCAGTAATACCTTTTTGAATAAGTAATAAAATGATAAGCAACTAACTATGCCCTGGAGAAGTTTTAGGATAAATGAATGTGTCCAACCTTGTTCTTGTGTTGGAGATGCACTCCACCACCTTTCTCTACAGCATTGCTTAGTGTTGGTAGTAATAGGCACAGATGCACTGATGTTATGGAGACATATACACTAACACGCAACTTAATCATTCCATGCTGTTGACATACCCATTTCTCTTGTGTTTCACACAACTGTAGGGGTTTTATTTCGTAGCACACACTTAAAACTTTGAACATGAAGAGAGATGGATTCTTATTTTTATAATCAGGATTGCTCAGGGGGTTTTCTGGGTTCTTGTCCTTGTTTTTTTCCCAAGTGCTGTCTTGTTTTCCTCAAAATCTGAAGGGGCTGAAAAACCTTTTTTTTTTTTTTTCTTTTTTTTTTGTTTATCTGTAAACAAATGGTTGGGATCATTACTTCCTCACTCTATATTTGCCTTTATGTCAGTAGGATTTACAGCAATATAATAAGTCTCTTTTATTCTTGGATACCATATTTCTGTCCAAGACCTATTTCTAGCCTTGTCCTCTTCAGTCAGAAATGAATACTACAGGTCCCAGAAGAAATGAAACTTTGTACCTCCTGTATGGTTTCCAACTCCTGCCAGCTGGGCTGAATAACACAGCACTTGCTCAGCTGTATTCTCCTCTGCCCCCATTTAAATGGTTTATGCTTTATGTTAAGGTGCCTGTTTTTCATTTAATTCAGTGAGCAAAACTGTAAGACTAGCATTCTCCATTTTAAGTCCTCAGTTTTATCCCATGTTGCGCCTAGACCTCTAGATCCACATCTAGATCTGTATGAAGGACTTAAATATTAACAAATATTCCAGAATTCATAATGTAGAAATTGGATTTATTTTTCAGTGACAATGTCAATGCATCTGCTAGTTTATTAATCCCACCGAATAACAGGAAAATATTTTCAACACTGTTTTCATCCTTATGTGGCAAAGGACTCTGTAGTGAAGGGGTTAAACCTCTACCCTTTTGCTCCTCCTCCTTAAAATGTGTTATTTCTTGTGAACTATGTGTAAATGAAGTTGAGACTACTGTTTCTCTGTTCTTCCTCCTCCCTGAACACTTCATGTACATCTTTGACGTGACCTTGTTGTCTTTAAATTACTAGCTTCTTCACAGAGCAGAATGTTTCCCCAGTGCCTGAAATCTCAACCATGTATTAATGCAAAGTGATGGCAGAATATGGAGAAGAGTATCTTGGGGAACCATCTTTATAGCTTTATAAAGCACAATACTTTATGTACTCTGCTGTGCTTGGTCAATGCTTTCTCATTTAATGCCATAATAGATTTCTAAATACACTTGAAAGTCTGGTACTTACTTTTTCTGGGTGACGTCCTGCCTTCAGTGGTAAAATTTCCATTGATTTTTGTAGAGTCAGAATTTCCTGGTGTTCTTTCCTCAGCAAAATGAAAATAATCTTTTCTGCACTCAAAAGAAGTCATGAGAATATACTTATGTATAAATTGTATCAGTCCCTACTTAAACTTTACTGCAGTATGGTTTTGCTGTATTTCATGGGGGTGAAATGATGTTTGGGTTTTGTCCATAATGTTTGTAGGGAGAGCGACAGCTACTGTCAGGCAAAAAATGTAAGTGGGTTACTGTACATCTACCTGCCTAGTTCACGGCACATTATTTGTAAATAAGATTATTTGTAAAAGTCTCTGATTTAAGCTTCCCATTAGGTGTCAATGATAATCTGCCCAAAGAAAAGACTGACTTATATTTTCATGGTGTAAAAGTAAAATGTCTTCCATTTTGTTGTGAATTCGGCTAACTTATTGCCACCACATTCATACACTGCATGACAGACAGAAGATAATCATTTAACAAAACCTTTTGCTGTCTGTTGCTTGATATGACACTGGGCATGAGTACCTGCCTCTGAACTTGGATA